GTTTTTTTTTCGGGCGGGTTTTTTGCCCTTTCTTCTTGGGGTTTTTTTTTTGATCCCCCCCCCCTGGGGCCCTCGGGCCCAAAAGGGGGGGGGGGAATTTTTCCCCCCAATTAAATAGGGGCGTTCCCCCCGCCGGTTTACCAAATGAAATTTTTTTTGGGGGGGCCCCCGGGGGGGGTTGGGGGCAAGTTGGCCTTCCGGGGGGGTTTTCCCCCCGGGTTTTTTCGGGGGGGTGTTTTTCCCCCCCCCCCCCCCCCCCCCCCCGCTACACATGTTTTCTATTTGCGATATGTATGCTCTCTCAGTTTGGCATCTCAGGAGCGGCGGTGGCTCGCGCCTGGGCAGATAAGATTGTGGAGTGGGTTACCTTGGGAGCCAAGACGGAGTCGCGGTGGATATGGCTTCTAGATCCGTTTCCTGGGCTGGGCATAAGCCCGCTGGCGGGACTGCTGCAGGCGGCTTGCGTGGTGGTGCTTCTGAGAGGGGTGGAGATGAGCAAACGCGTCACGACGGTCATGACGGCAATTAAGGTATTGTTCTGCTGTTGCTGTTGCTGTTGCTGTTGCTGTTGCTGCTACTGCTGCTGTTGCTGCTGTTGCTTGTCGATGTGTTGCTACTACTATTGTACTGCTGCTGCTACCGCTGCTGTTGCTGCTGTTGGCTCTGTCTTTTTTGTTGGTACTGCTATTGTACTGCTGCTGCTGCTACTGTTGCTGTTGCTGGTGCTATCGTTTCTGTTGCAGTTGATGCTGGTGATATTGCCGCTGTTACCCTTGTACGACAACGATGCCAACCATCGTCGTCATTGCTGCTGCTGCTGCTGCTGCTGCTACTACTACTGATGTTGCCTGTCGCTACTGCAGCTGTCCCGCGCGTATTGTCTTGGCACCACACAAACGTCTCCGACCTCCTGTCCATACCTCCCAGCACATCCCTATCGTAACTCCCATACGGCGACGACACCGCCCGTGCAACAACACACTCACCGCCGCTGCACTCTTTTTGGCTCATCAATCGGACGAAACAGATGGCGGTATGCATCTTCATTATCGTTGGGGGCCTTGCGCTGTTCGACCCGGGCAACATGTTACCTTTCGCGCCGATGGGGGTTGCAGGAGTGATCAGAGGATCGTCGGCGGCGTTTTTCGGTTACCTGGGGTACGACGAGGTGAGACACGAGAATAACAAACACATTGTTTGCTCTGTTTTTGTGGGGAGAACGGGGGGGGGGGGGGGGGGGGAGGGAAAAATTGGGGGGAAGTTTTTCCGAAGTTTGGGGGGGGGGGGGGGGGAAGGTGTAAATGGGGGGGGATTCTTGGAAAGATTGGGAGGGGGGAAAAAAAATTTTGTGAAATTGGGGAAATTTTTTTTTGTCCAACGGCCCGGGAAAGAAAAAGGAAGAAATGCTGCT